TAGTAGTAGTAGTACTAGTAGTAGTATTACTAGTAGTAGTAGTACTAGTAGTAGTAGTGGTAGTAGTAGTAGTACTAGTAGTATTAGTGTTAGTAGTATTGGTACTATTAGTAATAGTAGTAGTACTACTAGTAGTATTAGTACGGGTAGTAGTAGTATTACAAAGAGTATTAGTAGTAGTACAAGTAGTAGTAATAGTATTATTAATGTTAATAGTAGCACTGGTAGTACTGGTAATATTACTAGTAGTAGTCGTAGTAACAGTAGTGGTACTAGTAGTAGTAGTAGTACTAGTAGTATTAGTAATACTAGTAGTAGAGTAGTAGTATTAGTAGTAGTAGTACTAGTATTAGTAATAGTACTATTAGTAGTAGTAGTATTAGTAGTAGCAGTATTATTAATACTAGTAGTAGTAGTAGTATTAGTAGTAGTAATATTAATTATAATAATATTAGTACTAGTAATAATAGTAGAAGTAATAGTATTAGTTGTAGTACTAGTAGTATTAGTAGTAATAGTAGTAGTAGTATTAGTATTAGTAGTGGCACTAGTAGTATTAGTATTAGTACTACTAGTAGTAATAGTAGTAATATTAATAGTACTAGTAGTAGTAATAGTAGTAGTACTAGTGGTAGTACTAGTAGTACTAGTAGTAGTAGTACTAGTAGTAGTACTGTTAGTAGTAGTAGTATTAGTACTCGTAATAGTATTAGTACTAGTGGAAGTAGTACTAGTAGTATTAGTACTAATAGTCGTAGTAGTATTAGTAGTAGTACTAGTAGTAGTAGTAGGAGGAGTACTAGTAGTACTAGTAGTATTATTAGTAGTACTATTAGTACTATTATTAGGAGTACTAGTAGTAGTAGTAGTGTTAGTAATACTAGTAATAATATTAGTACTATTAGTAGTAGTATTATTATTGGTAGGAATATTAGTAGTAGTAATAAGAGTAGTAGTAGTACTAGTAGTAGTACTATTAGTAGTATTAGTAGTAGTATTAGTAGTAATAGTAGTACTAGTAGTAGTAGTAGATGTAGCAGCAGTAGTAGTACTTTTATTAGTAGTAGTATACTAGTAGTAGTACTAGTAGTAGTATTAGTAGTAGTACTAGTAGTAGTAGTACTAGTAGTAGTAGTACTAGTAGTAGTATTATTACTAGTAGTATTAATACTAGTAGTAGTAGTAGTATTACTAGTAGTACTAGTAGTTTTACTAGTAGTAGTAGTCGTGTTATTAGTACTGGTAGTAGTAGTAATAGTACTCATAGTACTAGTAGTAGTACTAGTAGTAGTAGTAGTAGCACTGGAAGTAGTAGTAGTAGTACTAGTAGTAGTAGTACTAGTATTAGTAGTACTAGTAGTAGTAGTATTAGTAGTACTAGTACTAGTTGTAATAGTATTAGTCGTACAAGTATTAGTACCAGTAGTAGTAGTATTACTAGTAATAGTACTAATAGTTGTAATACTAGTAGTAGTAGTAGTACTAGTAGTAGTAGTAGTACTAGTAGTAGTACTAGTAGTAGTAGTACTAGTAGTAGTATTACTAGTAGTAGTAGTACTAGTAGTAGTAGTGGTAGTAGTACTAGTACTAGTAGTAGTAGTAGTGGTAGTAGTGGTATTAGTAGTATTAGTAGTAGTACTACTAATAGTATTAGTACGAGTAGTAGTAGTAGTACAAAGAGTATTAGTAGTAGTACAAGTAGTAGTAATAGTATTAATAATGTTAATAGTAGCACTGGTAGTACTGGTAATAGTACTAGTAGTAGTCGTAGTAACAGTAGTGGTACTAGTAGTAGTAGTACTAGTAGTATTAGTAATACTAGTAGTAGAGTAGTAGTATTAGTAGTAGTAGTTCTAGTATTAGTAATAGTACTATTAGTAGTAGTAGTATTAGTAGTAGCAGTATTATTAATACTAGTAGTAGTAGTAGTATTAGTAGTAGTAATATTAATTATAATAATATTAGTACTAGTAATAGTAGTAGTAGTAATAGTATTAGTTGTAGTACTAGTAGTAGTAGTAATACTAGTAGTAGTAGTACTAGTAGTAGTAGTGGCACTAGTAGTATTAGTATTAGTACTACTAGTAGTAATAGTAGTAATATTAATAGTACTAGTAGTAGTACTAGTAGTAGTACTAGATAGTAGTACTAGTAGTAGTAGTAGTACTAGTAGTAGTAGTAATACTAGTACTAGTAGTAGTAGTAGTACTTGTAGTAGTAGTAGTACTACTAGTAGTACTAGTAGTAGTAGTATTGGTGGTAGTAGTAGTAGTATTAGTAGTAGTAGTACTAGTAGTAGTAGTAGTAGTACTAGTAGTAGCAGTAGTAGTAGTAGTATCAGTACTAGTAGTATTAGTAGTAGTACTAGTAGTAGTACTGGTAGTAGTAGTAGTAATATTAGTAGTAGTATTATTAGTAGTAGTTGTAGTAGTAGTAGTTGTACTAGTATTAGTAGTAGTACTAGAAGTAGTAGTAGTATTACTAGTAGTAGTAGTAGATAAGTAGTAGTAATAGTAGTAGTATACTAGTAGTAGTACTAGTAGTAGTATTAGTATTAGTACTAGTAGTAGTAGTAGTAGTACTAGTAATAGTAGTAGTACTAGTGATATTAGTAGTACTATTAGTAATAGTAGTAGTAATAGTACTATTAGTACTAGTACTAGTACTAGTAGTAGTACTAGTAGTAGTTGTAGTAGTAGTAGTAGTACTAGTATTAATTGTAGTACTAGAAGTAGTAGTAGTACTAGTGGTATTAGTAGTACTAGTGGAAAAGTAGTAGTAGTAATACTAGTAGTACTAGTACTAGTAGTAGTAGTACTAATAGTAGTAGTAGTGGTAGTAGTAATATTACTAGTATTATTAGTAGTAGCACTAGTAGTAGTAGTAGTACTAGTAGTGGCAATAGTAGTAATAGTATCAGTGCTAGTAGTAGTAGTACTAGTAGTAGTACTGGTAGTAGTAGTAATAGTATTAGTACTAGTATTAGTAGTAGTACTAGTGGAAGAAGTTCTAGTAGTAGTAGTACTAATAGTCGTAGTAGTATTAGTAGTAGTACTAGTAGTAGTAGTAGGAGGAGTACTAGTAGTAGTAGTAGTATTATTAGTAGTACTATTAATACTATTATTAGGAGTACTAGTAGTAGTAGTGTTAGTAATACTAGTAATAATATTAGTACTATTAGTAGTAGTATTAGTATTGGTAGGAATAATAGTAGTAGTAATAGGAGTAGTAGTAGTACTAGTAGTAGTACTAGTAGTAGTATTAGTAGTAGTACTAGTAGTAATAGTAGTACTAGTAGTAGTAGTAGAAATAGCAGTAGAAGTAGTAGTACTTTTATTAGTAGTAGTATACTAGTAGTAGTACTAGTAGTAGTATTAGTAGTAGTACTAGTAGTAGTAGTACTGGTAGTAGTAGTATTACTATTATTATTACTACTAGTAGTAGTATTAGTATTACTAGTAGTACTAGTAGTTGTACTAGTAGTCGTAGTCGTGTTATTAGTACTGGTAGTAGTAGTAGTAGTACTCATAGTACTAGTAGTAGTACTAGTAGTAGTAGTAGTACTAGTAGTAGTAGTAGTAGTAGTACTAGTAGTAGTAGTTGTAGTAGTACTAGTAGTAGTAGTAGTATTATTAGTAATAGTAGTAGTAGTACTAGTAGTAGTAGTAGTACTAGTAGTAGTAGTAGTAGTACTAGTAATAGTAGTAATACTAGTACTAGTAGTAGTAGTAGTACTTGTAGTAGTAGTAGTACTACTAGTAGTACTAGTAGTAGTAGTATTGGTGGTAGTAGTAGTAGTACTAGTGGTAGTAGTACTAGTAGTAGTATTAGTACTAGTAGTATCAGTAGTAGTATCAGTACAAGTACTATTAGTAGTAGTACTAGTAGTAGTACTGGTAGTAGTAGTAGTAGTGATATTAGTAGTAGTATTATTAGTAGTATTTGTAGTATTAGTAGTTGTACTAGTATTAGTAGTAGTACTAGAAGTAGTAGTAGTATTACTAGTAGTATTAGTAGTAGTACTAGTAATAGTAGTAGTACTAGTGGTATTAGTAGTACTATTAGTAATAGTAGTAGTAATAGTACTAATAGTACTAGTACTAGTAGTAGTAGTACTAGTAGTAGTTGTAGTAGTAGTAGTAGTACTAGTATTAATATTAGTACTAGAAGTAGTAGTAGTACTAGTGGTATTAGTAGTACTAGTAGAAAAGTAGTAGTAGTAATACTAGTAGTACTAGTACTAGTAGTATTAGTAGTACTAATAGTAGTAGTAATGGTAGTAGTAATATTACTAGTATTATTAGTAGTAGCACTAGTAGTAGTAGTAGTACTAGTAGTAGCAATAGTAGTAATAGTATCAGTGCTAGTAGTAGTAGTAGTACTAGTAGTAGTACTGGTAGTATTAGTAATAATATTAGTACTAGTATTAGTAGTAGTACTAGTGGAAGAAGTTCTAGTAGTAGTAGTACTAATTGTCGTAGTATTATTAGTAGTAGTACTAGTAGTAGTAGTACTATTATTAGTAGTACTATTAATACTATTATTAGGAGTACTAGTAATAATAGTAGTGTTAGTAATTCTAGTAATAATATTAGTACTATTAGTAGTAGTATTAGTATTGGTAGGAATAGTAGTATTAGTAATAGGAGTAGTAGTAGTACTAGCAGTAGTACTAGTAGTAGTATTAGTAGTAGTACTAGTAGTAGTAGTACTAGTAGTAGTATTACTAGTAGTAGTAGTACTAGTAGTAGTAGTGGTAGTAGTAGTAGTACTAGTAGTAGTATTAGTAGTACTAGTAGTAGTATTAGTAGTACTAGTAGTAGCAGTAGTAGTAGTAGTATCAGTACTAGTAGTATTAGTAGTAGTACTAGTAGTAGTACTGGTAGTAGTAGTAGTAATATTAGTAGTAGTATTATTAGTAATAGTTGTAGTAGTAGTTGTACTAATAATAATAGTCGTACTAGTAGTAGTAGTAGAAGTAGAAGTAGTAGTAGTAGTACTTTTATTAGTAGTAGTATATTAGTAGTAGTACTAGTAGTAGTATTAGTAGTAGTACTAGTAGTAGTAGTACTAGTAGTAGTAGTACTAGTAGTAGTAGTATTACTAGTAGTATTACTAGTAGTAGTAGTAGTATTACTAGTAGTACTAATAGTTGTACTAGTAGTAGTAGTCGTGTTATTAGTACTGGTAGTAGTGGTAGTAGTACTCATACTACTAGTAGCAGTACTAGTAGTAGTAGTAGTACTAGTAGTAGTAGTTGTAGTAGTACTAGTAGTAATAGTAGTATTATTAGTAGTAGTATTAGTAGTACTAGTAGTAGTAGTAGTACTAGTAGTAGTAGTAGTACTAGTAGTAGTAGTAATACTTGTACTAGTAGTAGTAGTAATACTTGTAGTAGTAGTAGTACTACTAGTAGTACTACTAGTATTAGTATTGGTGGTAGTAGTAGTAGTACTAGTAGTAGTAGTACTAGTAGTAGTATTAGTAGTACTAGTAGTAGCAGTAGTAGTAGTAGTATCAGTACTAGTAGTATTAGTAGTAGTACTAGTAGTAGTACTGGTAGTAGTAGTAGTAATATTAGTAGTAGTATTATTAGTAGTAGTTGTAGTATTAGTAGTTGTACTAGTATTAGTAGTAGTACTAGAAGTAGTAGTAGTATTACTAGTAGTAGTAGTAGAAGTAGAAGTAGTAGTAGTAGTACTTTTATTAGTAGTAGTATACTAGTAGTAGTACTAGTAGTAGTATTAGTAGTAGTACTAGTAGTAGTAGTAGTACTAGTAATATTAGTAGTACTAGTGATATTAGTAGTACTATTAGTAATAGTAGTAGTAATAGTACTATTAATACTAGTACTAGTACTAGTAGTAGTACTAGTAGTAGTTGTAGTAGTAGTAGTAGTACTAGTATTAATTGTAGTACTAGAAGTAGTAGTAGTTCTAGTGGTATTAGTAGTACTAGTAGAAAAGTAGTAGTAGTAATACTAGTAGTACTAGTACTAGTAGTAGTAGTACTAATAGTAGTAGTAGTGGTAGTAGTAGTAGTATTACTAGTAGTATTACTAGTAGTAGTAGTAGTATTACTAGTAGTACTAATAGTTGTACTAGTAGTAGTAGTAGTGTTATTAGTACTGGTAGTAGTGGTAGTAGTACTCATACTACTAGTAGTAGTACTAGTAGTAGTAGTAGTAGTACTAGTAGTAGTAGTTGTAGTAGTACTAGTAGTAATAGTAGTATTATTAGTACTAGTATTAGTAGTACTAGTAGTAGTAGTAGTACTAGTAGTAGTAGTAGTACTAGTAGTAGTAGTAATACTAGTACTAGTAGTAGTAGTAGTACTTGTAGTATTAGTAGTACTACTAGTAGTACTAGTAGTAGTAGTATTGGTGGTAGTAGTAGTAGTACTAGTAGTAGTAGTACTAGTAGTAGTATTAGTAGTACTACTAGTAGCAGTAGTAGTAGTAGTATCAGTACTAGTAGTATTAGTAGTAGTACTAGTAGTAGTACTGGTAGTAGTAGTAGTAATATTAGTAGTAGTATTATTAGTAGTAGTTGTAGTATTAGTAGTTGTACTAGTATTAGTAGTAGTACTAGAAGTAGTAGTAGTATTACTAGTAGTAGTAGTAGAAGTAGAAGTAGTAGTAGAAGTACTTTTATTAGTAGTAGTATACTAGTAGTAGTACTAGTAGTAGTATTAGTAGTAGTACTAGTAGTAGTAGTAGTAGTACTAGTAATAGTAGTAGTACTAGTGATATTAGTAGTACTATTAGTAATAGTAGTAGTAATAGTACTATTAGTACTAGTACTAGTACTAGTAGTAGTACTAGTAGTAGTTGTAGTAGTAGTAGTAGTATTAGTATTAATTGTAGTACTAGAAGTAGTAGTAGTACTAGTGGTATTAGTAGTACTAGTAGAAAAGTAGTAGTAGTAATAGTAGTAGTAGTACTGGTAGTAGTAGTATTACTAGTATTATTACTACTAGTAGTAGTAGTAGTATTACTAGTAGTACTAGTAGTTGTACTAGTAGTCGTAGTCGTGTTATTAGTACTGGTAATAGTAGTAGTAGTACTCATAGTACTAGTAGTAGTACTAGTAGTAGTAGTAGTACTAGTAGTAGTAGTAGTAATACTAGTAGTAGTAGTTGTAGTAGTACTAGTAGTAGTAGTAGTATTATTAGTAATAGTAGTAGTAGTACTAGTAGTAGTAGTAGTACTAGTAGTAGTAGTAGTAGTACTAGTAATAGTAGTAATACTAGTACTAGTAGTAGTAGTAGTACTTGTAGTATTAGTAGTACTACTAGTAGTACTAGTAGTAGTAGTATTGGTGGTAGTAGTAGTAGTACTAGTGGTAGTAGTACTAGTAGTAGTATTAGTACTAGTAGTATCAGTAGTAGTATCAGTACAAGTACTATTAGTAGTAGTACTAGTAGTAGTACTGGTAGTAGTAGTAGTAGTAATATTAGTAGTAGTATTATTAGTAGTAGTTGTAGTAGTAGTAGTTGTACTAGTATTAGTAGTAGTACTAGAAGTAGTAGTAGTATTACTAGTAGTATTAGTAGTAGTACTAGTAGTAGTAGTAGTACTAGTGGTATTAGTAGTACTACTAGTAATAGTAGTATTAATAGTACTAGTAGTACTAGTACTAGTAGTAGTAGTAGTACTAGTAGTAGTTGTAGTAGTAGTAGTAGTACTAGTATTAATTGTAGTACTAGAAGTAGTAGTAGTACTAGTGGTATTAGTAGTACTAGTAGAAAAGTAGTAGTAGTAATACTAGTAGTACTAGTACTAGTAGTAGTAGTAGTACTAATAGTAGTAGTAGTGGTAGTAGTAATATTACTAGTATTATTAGTAGTAGCACTAGTAGTAGTAGTAGTACTAGTAGTAGCAATAGTATTAGTAGTATCAGTGCTAGTAGTAGTAGTAGTACTAGTAGTAGTAGTAGTAGTATTAGTACTAGTATTAGTAGTAGTACTAGTGGTAGTAGTACTAGTAGTAGTAGTAATACTAGTACTAGTATTAGTAGTAGTACTAGTAGTAGTAGTAGTACTACTAGTAGTACTAGTAGTAGTAGTGGTAGTAGTAGTAGTACTAGTAGTAGTAGTACTATTAGTAGTATTAGTAGTACTAGTAGTAGTAGTAGTAGTAGTATCAGTACTAGTAGTATTAGTAGTAGTACTAGTAGTAGTACTGGTAGTAGTAGTAGTAATATTAGTAGTAGTATTATTAGTAATAGTTGTAGTAGTAGTTGTACTAATAATAATAGTAGTACTAGAAGTAGTAGTAGTATTACTAGTAGTAGTAGTATTAGTACTAGTAGTAGTAGTAGTACTAGTGGTATTACTAGTACTATTAGTAATAGTAGTAGTATTAGTACTAGTAGTACTAGTATTAGTAGTAGTAGTTCTAGTAGTAGTTGTAGTAGTAGTAGTAGTACTAGTATTAATCGTAGTACTAGAAGTAGTAGTAGTATTACTAATTTTATTAGTAGTAGTAGTACTAGTGGTAGTAGTAGTACTAGTAGAAAAGTAGTAGTAGTAATACTAGTAGTACTAGTACTAGTAGTAGTAGTAGTACTAATAGTAGTAGTAGTGGTAGTAGTAATATTACTAGTATTAGTAGTAGTAGCACTAGTAGTAGTAGTACTAGTAGTAGTACTGTTAGTATTAGTAATAATATTAGTACTAGTATTAGTAGTAGTACTAGTGGAAGAATTTCTAGTAGTATTAGTACTAATAGTCGTAGTAGTATTAGTAGTAGTACTAGTAGTATTAGTAGTATTATTAGTAGTATTATTAGTACTATTATTAGGAGTACTAGTAATAATAGTAGTGTTAGTAATACTAGTAATAATATTAGTATTATTAGTAGTAGTATTACTATTGGTAGGAATAGTAGTATTAGTAATAGGAGTAGTAGCAGTACTAGTAGTAGTACTAGTAGTAGTATTAGTAGTAGTACTAGTAGTAGTAGTACTAGTAGTAGTATTACTAGTAGTAGTAGTACTAGTAGTAGTAGTGGTAGTAGTAGTAGTACTAGTAGTATTAGTGTTAGTAGTATTGGTACTATTAGTAATAGTAGTAGTACTACTAGTAGTATTAGTACGGGTAGTAGTAGTAGTACAAAGAGTATTAGTAGTAGTACAAGTAGTAGTAATAGTATTATTAATGTTAATAGTAGCACTGGAAGTACTGGTAATATTACTAGTAGTAGTCGTAGTAACAGTAGTGGTACTAGTAGTAGTAGTAGTACTAGTAGTATTAGTAATACTAGTAGTAGAGTAGTAGTATTAGTAGTAGTAGTACTAGTATTAGTAATAGTACTATTAGTAGTAGTAGTATTAGTAGTAGCAGTATTATTAATACTAGTAGTAGTAGTAGTAATATTAATTATAATAATATTAGTACTAGTAATAATAGTAGTAGTAATAGTATTAGTTGTAGTACTAGTAGTATTAGTAGTACTAGTAGTAGTAGTACTAGTATTAGTAGTGGCACTAGTAGTATTAGTATTAGTACTACTAGTAGTAATAGTAGTAATATTAATAGTACTAGTAGTAGTACTAGTAGTAGTACTAGTGGTAGTACTAGTAGTACTAGTAGTAGTAGTACTAGTAGTAGTACTGGTAGTAGTAGTAGTATTAGTACTCGTAGTAGTATTAGTACTAGTGGAAGTAGTACTAGTAGTATTAGTACTAATAGTCGTAGTAGTATTAGTAGTAGTACTAGTAGTAGTAGTAGGAGGAGTACTAGTAGTAGTAGTAGTATTATTAGTAGTACTATTAGTACTATTATTAGGAGTACTAGTAGTAGTAGTAGTGTTAGTAATACTAGTAATAATATTAGTACTATTAGTAGTAGTATTATTATTGGTAGGAATATTAGTAGTAGAAATAGGAGTAGTAGTAATACTAGTAGTAGTACTAGTAGTAGTATTAGTAGTAGTATTAGTAGTACTAGTAGTAGTAGTAGAAGTAGCAGTAGTAGTAGTACTATTATTAGTAGTAGTATACTAGTAGTAGTACTAGTAGTAGTATTAGTAGTAGTACTAGTAGTAGTAGTACTAGTAGTAGTAGTACTAGTAGTAGTAGTATTACTAGTAGTATTAATACTAGTAGTAGTAGTAGTATTACTAGTAGTACTAGTAGTTGTACTAGTAGTAGTAGTCGTGTTATTAGTACTGGTAGTAGTAGTAATAGTACTCATAGTACTAGTAGTAGTACTAGTAGTAGTAGTAGTAGTAGCACTGGAAGTAGTAGTAGTAGTACTAGTAGTAGTAGTAGTGGTAGTACTAGTAGTAGTAGTACTAGTATTAGTAGTACTAGTAGTAGTAGTATTAGTAGTACTAGTATTAGTAGTAATAGTATTAGTCGTACTAGTATTAGTACTAGTAGTAGTAGTATTACTAGTAGTAGTATAGTAGTTGTAATACTAGTAGTAGTAGTAGTAGTACTAGTAGTAGTAGTAGTACTATTAGTACTAGTAGTAGTACTAGTAGTAGTAGTACTAGTAGTATTATTACTAGTAGTAGTAGTACTAGTAGTAGTATAGTAGTAGTAATACTAGTAGTAGTAGTAGTAGTACTAGTAGTAGTAGTAGTACTATTAGTACTAGTAGTAGTACTAGTAGTATTAGTACTAGTAGTATTATTACTAGTAGTAGTAGTACTAGTAGTAGTAGTAGTACTAGTATTAGTACTAGTAGTAGTAGTATTACTAGTAGTAGTATAGTAGTAGTAATACTAGTAGTAGTAGTAGTAGTACTAGTAGTAGTAGTAGTACTATTAGTACTAGTAGTAGTAGTAGTACTAGTAGTAGTAGTAGTGGTAGTACTAGTAGTAGTAGTACTAGTATTAGTAGTACTAGTAGTAGTAGTATTAGTAGTACTAGTATTAGTAGTAATAGTATTAGTAGTACTAGTATTAGTACTAGTAGTAGTAGTATTACTAGTAGTAGTATAGTAGTTGTAATACTAGTAGTAGTAGTAGTAGTACTAGTAGTAGTAGTAGTACTATTAGTACTAGTAGTAGTACTAGTAGTAGTAGTACTAGTAGTATTATTACTAGTAGTAGTAGTACTAGTAGTAGTAGTGGTAGTAGTAGTAGTACTAGTAGTAGTAGTAGTGGTAGTAGTAGTGGTACTAGTAGTATTAGTAGTAGTACTACTAGTAGTATTAGTACGGGTAGTAGTAGTAGTACAAAGAGTATTAGTAGTAGTACAAGTAGTAGTAATAGTATTATTAATGTTAATAGTAGCACTGGTAGTACTGGTAATATTACTAGTAGTAGTCGTAGTAACAGTAGTGGTACTAGTAGTAGTAGTAGTACTAGTAGTATTAGTAATACTAGTAGTAAAGTAGTAGTATTAGTAGTAGTAGTACTAGTATTAGTAATAGTACTATTAGTAGTAGTAGTATTAGTAGTAGCAGTATTATTAATACTAGTAGTAGTAGTAGTATTAGTAGTAGTAATATTAATTGTAATAATATTAGTATTAGTAATAGTAGTAGTAGTAATAGTATTAGTTGTAGTACTAGTAGTAGTAGTAGTACTAGTAGTAGTAGTACTAGTAGTAGTAGTGGCACTAGTAGTATTAGTATTAGTACTACTAGTAGTAATATTAGTAATATTAATAGTACTAGTAGTAGTACTAGTAGTAGTACTAGTGGTAGTACTAGTAGTACTATTAGTAGTAGTAGTACTAGTAGTAGTACTGGTAGTAGTAGTAGTAGTATTAGTACTCGTAGTAGTAGTAGTACTAGTGGAAGTAGTACTAGTAGTAGTAGTACTAATAGTCGTAGTAGTATTAGTAGTAGTACTAGTAGTAGTAGTAGGAGGAGTACTAGTAGTTGTAGTAGTATTATTAGTAGTACTATTAGTACTATTATTAGGAGTACTAGTAGTAGTAGTAGTGTTAGTAATACTAGTAATAATATTAGTACTATTAATAGTAGTATTAGTATTGGTAGGAATAGTAGTAGTAGTAATAGGAGTAGTAGTAGTACTAGTAGTAGTACTAGTAGTAGTATTAGTAGTAGTACTAGTAGTAATAGTAGTACTAGTAGTAGTAGTAGAAGTAGCAGTAGTAGTAGTAGTACTTTTATTAGTAGTAGTATACTAGTAGTAGTACTAGTAGTAGTATTAGTAGTAGTACTAGTAGTAGTAGTACTAGTAGTAGTAGTACTAGTAGTAGTAGTATTACTAGTAGTATTACTAGTAGTAGTAGTAGTATTACTAGTAGTACTAGTAGTTGTACTAGTAGTAGTAGTCGTGTTATTAGTACTGGTAGTAGTGGTAGTAGTACTCATAGTACTAGTAGTAGTACTAGTAGTAGTAGTAGTACTAGTAGTAGTAGTTGTAGTAGTACTAGTAGTAGTAGTAGTATTATTAGTACTAGTATTAGTAGTACTAGTAGTAGTAGTAGTACTAGTAGTAGTAGTAGTACTAGTAGTAGTAGTAATACTAGTACTAGTAGTAGTAGTAGTACTTGTAGTAGTAGTAGTACTACTAGTAGTACTAGTAGTAGTAGTATTGGTGGTAGTAGTAGTAGTACTAGTAGTAGTAGTACTAGTAGTAGTATTAGTAGTAGTAGTAGCAGTAGTAGTAGTAGTATCAGTACTAGTAGTATTAGTAGTAGTACTAGTAGTAGTACTGGTAGTAGTAGTAGTAATATTAGTAGTAGTATTATTAGTAGTAGTTGTAGTAGTAGTAGTTGTACTAGTATTAGTAGTAGTACTAGAAGTAGTAGTAGTATTACTAGTAGTAGTAGTAGTACTAGTAGTAGTAGTAGTACTAGTGGTATTAGTAGTACTATTAGTAATAGTAGTAGTATTAGTACTAGTAGTACTAGTACTAGTAGTAGTAGTAGTACTAGTAGTAGTTGTAGTAGTAGTAGTAGTACTAGTATTAATTGTAGTACTAGAAGTAGTAGTAGTACTAGTGGTATTAGTAGTACTAGTAGAAAAGTAGTAGTAGTAATACTAGTAGTACTAGTACTAGTAGTAGTAGTAGTACTAATAGTAGTAGTAGTGGTAGTAGTAATATTACTAGTATTAGTAGTAGTAGTACTAGTAGTAGTAGTAGTACTAGTAGTAGCAATAGTAGTAATAGTATCAGTGCTAGTAGTAGTAGTACTAGTAGTAGTACTGGTAGTAGTAGTAATAGTATTAGTACTAGTATTAGTAGTAGTACTAGTGGAAGAAGTTCTAGTAGTAGTAGTACTAATAGTCGTAGTAGTATTAGTAGTAGTACTAGTAGTAGTAGTAGGAGGAGTACTAGTAGTAGTAGTAGTATTATTAGTAGTACTATTAGTACTATTATTAGGAGTACTAGTAGTAGTAGTAGTGTTAGTAATACTAGTAATAATATTAGTACTATTAGTAGTAGTATTAGTATTGGTAGGAATAGTAGTAGTAGTAATAGGAGTAGTAGTAGTACTAGTAGTAGTACTAGTAGTAGTATTAGTAGTAGTACTAGTAGTAATAGTAGTACTAGTAGTAGTAGTAGAAGTAGCAGTAGTAGTAGTAGTACTTTTATTAGTAGTAGTATACTAGTAGTAGTACTAGTAGTAGTATTAGTAGTAGTACTAGTAGTAGTAGTACTGGTAGTAGTAGTATTACTAGTATTATTACTACTAGTAGTAGTAGTATTACTAGTAGTACTAGTAGTTGTACTAGTAGTCGTAGTCGTGTTATTAGTACTGGTAGTAGTAGTAGTAGTACTCATAGTACTAGTAGTAGTACTAGTAGTAGTAGTAGTAGTACTAGTAGTAGTAGTAGTAGTACTAGTAGTAGTAGTTGTAGTAGTACTAGTAGTAGTAGTAGTATTATTAGTAATAGTAGTAGTAGTACTAGTAGTAGTAGTAGTACTAGTAGTAGTAGTAGTACTAGTAATAGTAGTAATACTAGTACTAGTAGTAGTAGTACTTGTAGTAGTATTAGTACTACTAGTAGTACTAGTAGTAGTAGTATTGGTGGTAGTAGTAGTAGTACTAGTGGTAGTAGTACTAGTAGTAGTAGTAGTACTAGTAGTATTAGTAGTAGTATTAGTAATAGTACTATTAGTAGTAGTACTAGTAGTAGTACTAGTAGTAGTAGTAGTAGTAGTACTAGTACTAGTAGTAGTAGTAGTAGTACTACTAGTAGTACTAGTAGTAGTAGTATTGGTGGTAGTAGTAGTAGTACTAGTAGTAGTAGTACTAGTAGTAGTAGTAGTACTAGTAGTAGTAGTAATACTAGTACTAGTAGTAGTAGTAGTACTTGTAGTAGTAGTAGTACTACTAGTAGTACTAGTAGTAGTAGTATTGGTAGTAGTAGTAGTAGTAGTAGTATTAGTAGTACTAGTAGTAGTAGTAGTACTAGTAGTAGTAGTAGTACTAGTAGTAGTAGTAATACTAGTACTAGTAGTAGTAGTAGTATTGTAGTAGTAGTAGTACTACTAGTAGTACTAGTAGTAGTAGTATTGGTGGTAGTAGTAGTAGTACTAGTAGTAGTAGTACTAGTAGTAGTATTAGTAGTACTAGTAGTAGTAGTAGTAGTAGTAGTATCAGTACTAGTAGTATTAGTAGTAGTACTAGTAGTAGTACTGGTAGTAGTAGTAGTAATAGTAGTAGTAGTATTATTAGTAGTAGTTGTAGTAGTAGTAGTTGTACTAGTATTAGTAGTAGTACTAGAAATAGTAGTAGTATTACTAGTAGTAGTAGTAGTAGTAGTAGTAGTAGTAGTAGTACTTATTAGTAGTAGTATACTAGTAGTAGTACTAGTAGTAGTATTAGTATTAGTACTAGTAGTAGTAGTAGTAGTACTAGTAGTAGTAGTAGTACTAGTGGTATTAGTAGTACTATTAGTAATAGTAGTAGTATTAGTACTAGTAGTACTAGTACTAGTAGTAGTAGTAGTACTAGTAGTAGTTGTAGTAGTAGTAGTAGTACTAGTATTAATTGTAGTACTAGAAGTAGTAGTAGTACTAGTGGTATTAGTAGTACTAGTAGAAAAGTAGTAGTAGTAATACTAGTAGTACTAGTACTAGTAGTAGTAGTACTAGTAGTAGTAGTAGTAGTAGTAGTAATAGTACTAGTATTAGTAGTAGTAGTACTAGTAGTAGTAGTAGTACTAGTAGTAGCAATAGTAGTAATAGTATCAGTGCTAGTAGTAGTAGTACTAGTAGTAGTACTGGTAGTAGTAGTAATAGTATTAGTACTAGTATTAGTAGTAGTACTAGTGGAAGAAGTTCTAGTAGTAGTAGTACTAATAGTCGTAGTAGTATTAGTAGTAGTACTAGTAGTAGTAGTAGGAGGAGTACTAGTAGTAGTAGTATTATTAGTAGTACTATTAGTACTATTATTAGGAGTACTAGTAGTAGTGTTAGTAATACTAGTAATAATATTAGTACTATTAGTAGTAGTATTAGTATTGGTAGGAATAGTAGTAGTAGTAATAGGAGTAGTAGTAGTACTAGTAGTAGTACTAGTAGTAGTATTAGTAGTAGTACTAGTAGTAATAGTAGTACTAGTAGTAGTAGTAGAAGTAGCAGTAGTAGTAGTAGTACTTTTATTAGTAGTAGTATACTAGTAGTAGTACTAGTAGTAGTATTAGTAGTAGTACTAGTAGTAGTAGTACTGGTAGTAGTAGTATTACTAGTAGTATTACTACTAGTAGTAGTACTAGTATTACTAGTAGTACTAGTAGTTGTACTAGTAGTAGTAGTCGTGTTATTAGTACTGGTAGTAGTAGTAGTAGTACTCATAGTACTAGTAGTAGTACTAGTAGTAGTAGTAGTACTAGTAGTAGTAGTAGTACTAGTAGTAGTAGTTGTAGTAGTACTAGTAGTAGTAGTATTATTAGTAATAGTAGTAGTAGTACTAGTAGTAGTAGTAGTACTAGTAGTAGTAGTAATACTAGTACTAGTAGTAGTAGTAGTACTTGTAGTAGTAGTAGTACTACTAGTAGTACTAGTAGTAGTAGTATTGGTGGTAGTAGTAGTAGTACTAGTAGTAGTAGTACTAGTAGTAGTATTAGTACTAGTAGTAGCAGTAGTAGTATCAGTACTAGTAGTATTAGTAGTAGTACTAGTAGTAGTACTGGTAGTAGTAGTAGTAGTAATATTAGTAGTAGTATTATTAGTAGTAGTTGTAGTAGTAGTAGTTGTACTAGTATTAGTAGTAGTACTAGAAGTAGTAGTAGTATTACTAGTAGTATTAGTAGTAGTACTAGTAGTAGTAGTAGTACTAGTGGTATTAGTAGTACTATTAGTAATAGTAGTAGTATTAGTACTAGTAGTACTAGTACTAGTAGTAGTAGTAGTACTAGTAGTAGTTGTAGTAGTAGTAGTAGTACTAGTATTAATTGTAGTACTAGAAGTAGTAGTAGTACTAGTGGTAGTAGTAGTACTAGTAGAAAAGTAGTAGTAGTAATACTAGTAGTACTAGTACTAGTAGTAGTAGTACTAATAGTAGTAGTAGTGGTAGTAGTAATAGTACTAGTATTAGTAGTAGTAGCACTAGTAGTAGTAGTAGTACTAGTAGTAGCAATAGTAGTAATAGTATCAGTGCTAGTAGTAGTAGTACTAGTAGTAGTACTGGTAGTAGTAGTAATAGTATTAGTACTAGTATTAGTAGTAGTACTAGTGGAAGAAGTTCTAGTAGTAGTAGTACTAATAGTCGTAGTAGTATTAGTAGTAGTACTAGTAGTAGTAGTAGGAGGAGTACTAGTAGTAGTAGTAGTATTATTAGTAGTACTATTAGTACTATTATTAGGAGTACTAGTAGTAGTGTTAGTAATACTAGTAATAATATTAGTACTATTAGTAGTAGTATTAGTATTGGTAGGAATAGTAGTAGTAGTAATAGGAGTAGTAGTAGTACTAGTAGTAGTACTAGTAGTAGTATTAGTAGTAGTACTAGTAGTAATAGTAGTACTAGTAGTAGTAGTAGAAGTAGCAGTAGTAGTAGTAGTACTTTTATTAGTAGTAGTATACTAGTAGTAGTACTAGTAGTAGTATTAGTAGTAGTACTAGTAGTAGTAGTACTGGTAGTAGTAGTATTACTAGTATTATTACTACTAGTAGTAGTACTAGTATTACTAGTAGTACTAGTAGTTGTACTAGTAGTCGTAGTCGTGTTATTAGTACTGGTAGTAGTAGTAGTAGTACTCATAGTACTAGTAGTAGTACTAGTAGTAGTAGTAGTACTAGTAGTAGTAGTAGTAGTACTAGTAGTAGTAGTTGTAGTAGTACTAGTAGTAGTAGTATTATTAGTAATAGTAGTAGTAGTACTAGTAGTAGTAGTACTACTAGTAGTAGTAGTAGTAGTACTAGTAATAGTAGTAATACTAGTACTAGTAGTAGTAGTAGTACTTGTAGTAGTAGTAGTACTACTAGTAGTACTAGTAGTAGTAGTATTGGTGGTAGTAGTAGTAGTACTAGTGGTAGTAGTACTAGTAGTAGTATTAGTACTAGTAGTATCAGTAGTAGTATTAGTACAAGTACTATTAGTAGTAGTACTAGTAGTAGTAC